ATATATTTTTTTAATATATATTATATTATATATATATATATTATAAATATATATATTTTATATATATATATAGTTTTAGTACTATTTACTACTAACAATAACTTTTTTTTAAATTATTACAAATTATTGCATTTTTTTATTTAGAAGTGTTGAATTTTTTGACAACAACAACAACATTATTATTATTATTTTAATTCAATTGTTTAGTTATAATCTTTAATATTGTTTTAACTACAGTAATGTTCTTTTTTTTTTTTTAATTGGACTCTCTGGTACCGATCCTGAGGAGAACGTTTGCATGCAATGATGCATAAAGATGTTTAAAGGTGCTATAAACAAAAACTGAAAAGGTCTGTATTTATTCATATATAAATATCTATTTTTAATTATAAATATTTATTTTTATTTTAAGTGTTGAAAAGTTACATGTACCATTTACTACTAATATATATATATATATTTTTTTAATATAATTTATTTTTTACTTATTAATTTTATGCATTATTGTTTATCTGAAAAAAAATGAATTGCAAAAATTGACATAAAAAAACGTGTATCTTGCAATGAGTTTATAGCAGAAGCAAGTTTATATTTTTGTATATTCCATTTTAATTTAACTTTAGTTAAAGTTTTAGTAATTGTATTGTGTGTTTTTGTCTTTTCCATTGTTTATTTTTTATAGTTAGTTATATAGATTGTACATAGTTGTTATTCATTTTACTTAAGTTTTATTTATTTTAGTACATCAAGTTAAACTAAATTAAAATTTAGAAATTTTGCTTTAGCAACTAGCTAAAATAATCTTATTCATTATTAAACAAAAACAATATATCGTTTGTGAAGTTTCGACTAAGTCGCATTAGCGTCAAAAGATTTGAGCTTCTGATCAGAAAGGTAAGTTCACCATCATACATTAATTTACCCTGATTCTCTTTGTTTTTGACAGGCGTGTCTTTTGCGAGAGGACTGTTGAGTGAAGCTTCATGTACGTTGGATTCTGTGACATCCATTGGACCGTCACAGTGAGTCTGTGGAAATAAAGTCAACGCTCAGACAAAGACATTCACAACAAACACACCGTCTGTAGTAAGTGTTCACTAACCTTTACGTCCTCACATCCGGTCCCGTCCGGTTTACAACAAGAGCTCTAAACAAATATATATTACTGTTCTGTTACACAATGGACAGTCTTTTGTTTCTATACACAGTATAGTAGATCTGGTCTTACGTGCTGGACGTTGGGCGTGCTGAGACTGCGCCGTATGTGTCTGCCTTTAGCGGAGAGAGCTTCCTTCACCGTCACGGCCTGAATGAACCCACAAATACACACTAAACTCTAGAGATCAACCGATAATCGGTTTGACTGATATTGTTTCCTGATATCTAAGCATTTTTTCTTAATCGGATATTGGTTTTGTAATATTGGATCCACCGATAAATGCCGCCCTCTTGTGGTCGTTTTGAGATTTAAGGAAAATATTTCAGATAAAGTAATCGTTATCGGTTAGAAAAAATAATATCAATATTGGTCAATCTCTACTAAACACTCCAGCAGAAACAGCAGATACAACAAAACAATAAATAAATATTGGTTCTACATATCGGTTATCGGCACATAAACATGCAAATAACTTGTATCGGAAAAAAAAAAAAAAAATCAATATCGGTAGACCTCTACTAAACTCTCCAGCAGAAAAAAGTGAAACAATAATTAAATATTGGTTCTGCATATCGGTTATAGGCTCATAAACATGCAAATAATCTGTATCAGTATCGGTTATAAAAAACAACAACAACTATATCAGTCGATCTCTACTAAACACTCCAGCAGAAACAGCAGATAGAAGTAAAACAATAAATTAGTATTGGTTTTACATATCGGTTATCGGCACATAAACATGCAAATAATTTGTATCGGTTATAAAAAAAAAAATCAATATCAGTAGACCTCTACTAAACTCTCCAGCAGAAACAGCAGATAAAAGTGAAACAATAATTAAATATTGGTTCTGCATATCGGTTACAGGCCCATAAACATGCAAATAATCTATATCAGTCTCGGTTATAAAAAACAACAACAACTATATCAGTCGATCTCTACTAAACACTCTAGCAGAAACAGCAGATAGAAGTAAAACAATAAATTAGTATTGGTTTTACATATCGGTTATCGGCACATAAACATACAAATAATTTGTATCGGTTATAAAAAAATCAATATCGGTAGACCTCTACTAAACTCTCCAGCAGAAACAGCAGATAAAAGTGAAACAATAAATAAATATTGGTTCTGCATATTGGTTATTGGGCACAAAACATGCAAATAATCGATATCGGTATCATTACAAAAAATCAATATTGGTTGATCTCTACTAAACACTGCAGCAGTAACAGCAGATAGTGAGAGAAATCTGTCCTAAAGTGAAGCCGAACCTGCCGGAGTCTCTCCAGACACAGAATATTGTCCACCTCCAGCACTCCTCTGGTGTATTTCTCTATATATGTCACTCCATCGAGCGTCTCCTCACTCTCTCCTCGCGCCGCCATCAAGGCCAGAGTCTCGCGCTCCTCCGGCTCCTCAGACGCCTGTTCATGAAGACAGCATGTGTGTGATCAGTGCATTCAGACAGACAAACATGAAGAGGAAACAGTGTGAAGTTTGTACCTTTGGGATGTTGGACACGATCTCATACGTCACTCCACAGGAGTACAGAACGTTCTTCAAAGACATCCGTCTCTTCAGGCTCTGAGTAAAACTCTACCAGACATCAGTCATGAATTTACATTAATAACATGTACACGCCAATCATACATCTCATCACAGCTCAATAAACTTCAACAAAAACTCATAAATCAAAATGCCAAAACTGAAGAGGATGGTAAAATCTTCAGGTCACATTTCAAAATGAAAAAAAAAAAAATTGTATTTATATAGATATATCGGTTATATATATATATATATAAATATATAACAATCAAAAAGAATCTTGATTTTTGAGTTTTAATAAAGTCATTAAGATGAATTACGTTGCCTCCCTGTGTTTGCAGACCTGTTTGTTGTAGATGTTGACGGCGATCCTCTTGCGCAGCACCAGCTCCACAGACGCCGGGTGACTGAGTTGAACCGTGGCCTTCACGATCAGGTAGATCCGCTCGCTGGGCGCCGTGATCCGGTTCAGATGGATGGAGTCGTGGATGGACGAATCCCAGGAACACACAGCCGACACCTGAGAGCAAGAGAAATCATCACATATGAACGCTACGAGACATAATTCGTATTAATTTCATTAAATTTTATACATAATTTTTTGTCAATAAATAAATAAATAAATAAAATAAGAAGAGCAAGAAGATTTGTATAAAGCAAATTAAGCTTATTTTAGGTCCATTGCCATTTTTTTTCAATAAAACTTTATTTTGAAGACAATTTATCCTCCCAAAATCCCAAACGTTGATGAATGTAATGCATCCAGACATATTCTTTGAGGGTTTTTTTTTGTTGTTGTAATTTTCATTATTCTCACTGGTTAATTTTATTAGATTAGCATTACTATAATTTTTTTGTCCAAAAAAAACAACAACTATATAATATAACAATAATAAACAATGGTATATATGTAATATTATAAACAATACACTCATAACAATACACAATTATTTTAGTACCATCATGAATAATTTTTCAAAGTAGGGATGCATGATATTGGATTTTTCCGATATCCGATATGCCAATATTTTTCAACTCATTTTGGCCGATAGCCAATACCGATATATTTCTTTTTGTTTGGAAACAACACCAAGTCTCTCCTGTGCAGAGATTATAAACAAATTATTTTTAATTTTGGTTTGGTTTCAACAAAAACGTACTTGTTAGAATTAAATAAAAAATATTGAAGTTCTTTTATAAAGGGAGTACATTGAAAGCTTTGAAAATAACTATAAATCAACTATAAATCAATCGCTACTTTTTTCAGATGGATGCAGTGCTAAATTTATAATCCGTTTGAAAAAAAACATTACACATTAATGAATTAATCTGTATATGTAAATTTTTTTTAATTTACAAGTGTTATGTTTGTGATTTTTATTAATGTAAGCTATAGCTTCTGCCCTTTAAATCAAACCATACTCGTGATTTTATGACATCAATTACTGCTTTATTTAATCAGAAGCACAATCTTAATGATATTTGTGTATTTTGCTTTCATTTTATTACAAGTAGGCCAACAGCGACCCCTAGGTAAATAAAACGCCTTACTGAACGGCTGCTGCTGATTCTTTTGCACACCGGAAGTTATTAGTCTTATCGGCAACACATATCGGCATAATTTTTCATATCAGGCAGATGCCGATAATTGCATTTTAAGCCATCATCCTGACATCTTCCTTTTTTTTTTTGAAATTTTCATTATTCACATTGGGTAATTTACGTATGAGAAATCTTAACATATAAACCTTTCAAATCAGACCGACCATGAGCTCTGAGGTTATTAATATGATTCATGTAGAAGACACATGTCACTGTCATTCAACAGGCTTAATTCCTCTCACCTCGTCATTGCTGTGTCTGATTATGGGCAGGTAGAAGAACGGGCTGCCGTGCTCTTTGGGGAGGATTGAGTTAACACCGGCGGCGTGAGGACCGGTCAGCTGATCGTTCGCCGTCAGGTTATCAGCTGCAAAACACACATTACAGATAAAATAACAGTCACACGCAAACAAGCCTGAATGAGTGATCTGACAGGATCACGCAAACCAGAAAAACCTTCAGCCCTTGAACCCTGAAGATCAATATAGCTCACCATTCAGATCCAGGAACAGCACAGGAATATGAGCCTCCATTCCAGCAGGGGGAACCCTTGAGCAACAACAACACTGAAGTGAACACTTTTCCTCCAAAACTGTTCCAATAATAGGTTTTCATTACATGCTTGTCAGTTAAGTAACATATCTTTCAGAATCCAAGCCTGCTTCACTCACCATTATTGAAGGAAATATTCACATTTTTCATTGACTTTGAATAGTACTGCAAGATACTGTTTAATTCATGTTATTCGATGTCTTGTCATGTGCAGGTTGAAAATCACATTTAAGAACATCTGTTTACAATTTAATGGTGGAAAATGCTTAGAGTACTTTAAAAATACTTGTGTATTAATGAAATGAATTAGCAAATATTTACATTTAAATTTAAATTTTTTAAATTAGCTATATTATTTTTAACTTTTATTTTGTTTAAAATAAATATTTAATTTATACAAAAAAATATTATTATTACAGTAACATGAATCTAATGAGAGTGACAAGAATATCTGAATTTCTTAGCCTACTTTAGTTACTTAATAAATGTAGCAGAAAATATTGATTGTATTAATTTTGCATTTCCTTTAATTTAATGATTTACATTTTAAAATATATTACATAGTCATTTTTAATTTTTATCATTTTATTAAATTTTTACAAAAATAAATACCTATTACAGTAAAGTGAATCTAATGAGAATTTCTCAATTTCTTAGAGTACTTTAGTTAAATAAGTCTTAATACTTAAGTTAAATAAATGTAGCAGAAAATATAAATTTTATTAATATTGTATTTAATCTAATATGATTTACATTTTTAAATATTAGTGTTATAGTCTTGTATTTTTTTTACATTTTATTTTAATATTTAAAAAAAAATTTTTTTTTACAGTAAAGTGAATCTAATGAGAATGTAGCAGAAAATATTCATTTTATTAATACTGTATTTAATCTAATATGATTTAAAATTTAAAATACTGTATAATTTTTTCAACTTTTATTTTTTATTTTATTTTGTCTTAATTTATTATCATATGTTTTCACTTAAATGAATTTCCTTTAAATGGTTTAAAATGTTAAATATTACAGTGTTACAGTATTTTTACTTTTATTTTACTGTATTTTAGATTAATATTTTTATTTTTACAAAAAAATAAATTACTTTTACAGTAAAGAGAATCTAATGAGAATGTCCTGAATTTCTTAAGAGTACTTTAGTTAAATAATTCTTAATAATAATAATAACAATAACTTAAATCAAATAAATGTAGCACAAAATATTACTTTTATTAATATTGTATTTAATTTAATGATAAACATTGCATAATGCTATAGTATTTTTAACTTTTTTTTTTTCAATTTTATCTTAATTTATTATTATCATATGTTTTTACTCAAACAAATTAAAGTCAATGAACTTCATCATACCTTCTATTCCTTAAAGCTGCAGTCCGTAACTTTTTTGTGTTCAAAATTAACAAAATTTATATAATAAGCGAGTACACCATTGATCCATTTTCCAAACAGCTTGTCTTCTAAACCTGGTGAGGTTGAGCAGGACTGGTTTCCAGTGGTTCAGTTCTCACCAGTGCGCCGGGGCCCCTGGGATCCCGCTGCCGGGAGCCGGAACCAGCACGGCGTTCCTCTCCTCCGTCAGACCCACCCACTGCTCCACCAGCCTGGCCTCCCGCTCCACGTCCTCCTCGCACTTCTCTGGAAATCACAGCGCATTACATCACAGCAGCAGCTCCAGCAGCTCAGCACGATGAACACACGCTTCAAACTCCAACCTGGCTTGTTGATGATCCTCTTGATCTGCTCCTCCAGATACTCCCTGCGCTTGATGAGAGCGTCAGACCAGCGCTCCCGCACGCAGTTCAGATCCTCCTCCTGCAGAACAACATGCAGACATCAGATATGCTGCTGCTCGTTTAAGCGGCTCATTTGAGACAGAAAATACAACAAAAACTTTAAAGCGCGTGGAAAAGAATCTGAAGATCCCATCTGAAGTTCATCCCACTGATCAATCCACATACAGCTAAATATTGTCCTATCCTAACAAACCTAACAAACAATAATTCAATAAAGATGTACAAATCTCAATTTTGAAAAATTGACACTTATGACTGGTTTTGTGGTCCAGGGTAACATTTGTGCACATTTAGTTTGAATATCATGAAAAATATAGACCAATATAAACTATATATATATATATATATATATACAATATTATTATTTGTATTTTAGATAAATATTGATATATCATGAAAAATATACATTTAAAAAGTTTCATATATATTATTACATATTATTATCATTATACATATTACAAAAACATTGAAATAAAATACATATTACAAAATTATTTTATATTATTACATATTAAACATATTATTATACATATTAACAACTGAATAAGTTTCATATATATAATTATTAGTAGTAGAATTATTATATTAAAAATATTATTATACATATTACAAAAACATATTACATGTTACCAGTGTTGGGAGTAACGCATTACAAAAGTAATAATATTACAGTAGTATATTACTTTTTGCTGTAACGCAGTAATATAACGCATTACTAATCAAATTTGGGTAATATTATTACTCGTTACAATCTCAGTAACGTACATAAAATACATATTACAAAAACATTACATAAAATACATATAAAATTATTACACAACATTATTATTATTATACACATTACAAATGTAATAAAATAATATAATTTTAGAAAAATATAGAACATATAGAATAACACAGAATATATTAAAATATTTTAAATTATATAATAATATAGAACGTGTTAAAAATTAGTTTCATATGAAACTCTTTCATTTTTAACATGTTCTATAATTTTCAGCCTTTTAATGATATTCAATATATTTCACAATATTTGTTATTTAGCTTAAAAAGGACAATCATCTGTCTGAATTCTCACTAGTCACAAGAAAAGAAAGGATCACAAAACCAATCTAATGACATGATCGTTTGAAAAATAATGGAATAAATTAATTTAATTTAAAAAGTTGTGTTTAAAAAATAATATGCTATAAATTGTATGAAATTGTTGTTAATGTCACTTTACAATTAAATTTTTTCTTTATTTCTGTTTTATCTTTTTCCTTTGGTTATTTATTTATTTTACTTAATTTACATTTCTATTTTTATTTAAACTTTTTTAAAATGTTTAGAAACCAAGTGATAATTATTTTTTCAAAAAAGCAAAACAAAGCAAAGCTTCATTTCGCCTCTTTATTTTATTATTTTTATTTTATTTTTATTCACTGAGTATTTCAGTAACATCTGAGCATTCAATCAAGGTCAGCTCAAAATATTTCAGTTTTCTGGTCTCATTTAAATCATCCTTTGCTTTTAACTCTATCTATGCATTACATTCTGCACTATGCCAATAATAAGATCATTGATTTCAGTGTAATCCAGTGTAGACACGGTGTCAGGTGCAGAATTAGGAACCAAGCATCAAAATTCAATACTTACACAACACCAGAATAAACAAATAAATGCATGAATTAATAAAGGCAGATTAAGTCCACTGTGCCGTTTTCACACAGATGAAGCGGTCATACTGTACGCGGCTCCATCAAATGCACGTAAACATGCAGGAATCATGCAGCCATGCACTGATCATGTGACCGAGTGAAGACAGCCGTGTGTTAGTGCAGGAATCTCTAATTTCTCACATTCAATTCAGCGAGATTATAATATGAGGCTCATTAATGGCCGATTATGATGGACGCTCCCTGTCTGAAGCACATGATCAGCAGCAACAGCAGAAGTCAGAGTACCTGATAACTATCCATATCGGTGTCTTCCTCCCTCTGCTGGAGAGAATACAGTCTGTCACACACTCACACAGATCTGCTGACCGACTCACATTCACACTCCAAACGCTTGTGGATTTTACCGATAACCAGAACTAGGTTGGACCACACCGATAAACCGATTATTTAACCGATAATTCATAAAATGGATGCTGAATGAAAACAAACATAACACTCCAAGCAAAACAGTGCTGAACTTTATTACTAAAAAATAAAAAAATGTACTGAACCATGAAAATGTAATGTACTTTAAATTAAATAAATATATACATTTTTATTAAATATTTTTAGTGCTGTCAAACGATTAATCATGATTAAAAGCAACCAAAATAAACATTTTTGTTTGCATAATATATGTGTGTGGTGTATATTTATTATGTATATATAAATACACAAACATACATGTTGTGCGTCTTTTTAAAGACGACGTTGCATCTGGTAAACTCAAAGTTGTGTCTTTTTAAAGACGCTGTTGCGTCTTGCAAACTCGACATTGTGTCTTTGTAAAGTCGACGTTGCGTCTTGCTACAGACAACGTATCACCTGTGCGTTTCTGGATGTGGTCGTTATCTGGTGTCGGATGATGATCACAAACGCTGCCTCACGTGTCTGGGCATTAAGCACACTGAGGTGGCGTTCGTGGATGAGTCATGTTGCCGGGCCACCGTGAGAGTAGGGCTAGAGTGGAAATCTCCACCATGTCCCGAGCCCTCAAGGTTGGACGAATGGTTCTTCAGGGTGGCCCGCGCTGGTTCTCAGCGCCCCGCCCTGGTGCCATTCTTCCCGGAGGTGCATGAGGGGGCTTTCCAGGTCGTGGAAGGCACCTTTTTCTGCCGGAAACCGACCTGCTAGCTCCTCCTCCCTCACCACTCTCCTGCTAGCTCCTTCTCCCTCACCACTCTCGACGGTGGTGCAGCTAGGGGGTATACAGGGGAAGTCGTGGCCTAATGGTTAGAGAGTCGGACTCGTAACCCAAAGGTTGCGGGTTCGAGTCTCGTACCGGCAGGGATTGTAGGTGGGGGGAGTGAATGTACAGCGCTCTCTCCCACCTTCAATACCACGCCTTGAGCAAGGCGCCGCAGCAAAAATGGCTGCCCACTGCTCCGGGTGTGTGTTCACTGCTGTGTGTGTGCACTTTGGATGGGATAAATGCAGAGCACTAATTCCGAGTATGGGTCACCATACTTGGCCACATGTCACGTCACTTTTTAC